TGATCCCAGGGTCCTGGGATCGAGCCCCACATCGGGCTCCCTGCTCTGCGGGAAGCCTCCTTCTCCCTCTCCCACTCCCCCTGCGTGTGTTCCCTCTCTCGCTGTGTCTCTCTCTGTCAAATAAATAAATAAAATCTTTTAAAAAAAATAAAAATAAATAAAAAAAAGAAGGGCATGACTGCAGGGCAGGGAGAGAGAATACCTTCTACACTGTCCTTAGGCTACTTGTATCTGCAGCTCTGGGCACTGTGGCCAAAGCCACTGATTAATCTAGGACTGGCCTGTCAAGTCTTATTCTTCCTGTTGCATCATCCATTCTTGCCTCCATCCACTTGGTACCTCTGTCCTTGTCATCTTCAGGTTCCCTCCCACCAAGTTGCCTTTCCCAAGACTGCTCTCCACTCCACCAACAAAAACTCATACACAGAATTTAACATACCCAGACCTCAGTATCTCTGTGCATTCATAGACACCAGCTTCAGAATCAACCTGGCCTGCTTGGTAACAACATGGATTCCCCAGGCCCACCACATATCTACTGAGTTAGAATTTCCTGGAGCTGACCTAGGGGGCATTTATATTTTAAACAAGTTTCCCAGGTAATTCCTGATGTGTTTGGAAACCAATGTTTGAAGGGATAAAATCTGCTCTACAATTGAAGAAATGCAGATATCACTTGGTTAGACTTTGGAAACCACGTATGTGAGCTGCATTTGATTCAAGACCTTTAGTCTTCACCCATTAAAGTAATTAATTCAGGACTTTGAGTCACAGGACAGAGGGTGGATCAGACACCTAGGTGGAGAGTAGTCGAGGGACTTTCTCAGTCTTGCCATAAAGGTGCTCTGGTTCTGTCCCACACTGCTATTGGTTTCCAATAGCAACACTAGCCCGCCAGTTTGGGACAGATCCCAAGAGAACTAAGAAATGGAAGAGTCTGTCAATAAAGAGCTAAACATGCATTCTAAGAGTTACCTAAAGGTGTTGTCTGTATTCAGGCTCAAAAAGTAACACTAATCTCCATTTTTCCCAGTCCACTTAGAGACAGGTGTTCTGGCTATCCAAGGAGTGACTTTGCTGAGAGTTACTATGTGTGGATTAGGACTTTTGATCAGGATAGAGTGAAAATCAGTATGTAGAGCCTCCAGGCTTGCAGCCCCCCAGGGACTTCCTTTTGCAAGTCAATAAACCCCAACTCATCATGGTAGCCTGCAAGGCCCTATGAGATCTGCCTCTTGCCCACCTCTCCAACGTCACAGCTTTCCACCCCCTCACCAGCCAACCACATTGCAGCTACTCCAGATCTTCATTCTGACCCTTGACCCTTCACTTGCTGTTTCCTACCCCTGGAAAATTCTCCTGTCGGTTCTTCACAGAGCTACCTCTTTTCATTCTTCAGGTCTTCCCCAGACAGCCGTCCTGGATCCTCTGGATAGAGTCCAAGCCATACTTCCATCCCCCATCACTCTCAGTCCCACTGTCCTGGTTACTGACTTTGTAGCACTGATTACTGTCTGAATTCTTACTTGCTTCCTTCTATTCTTTCCCTCTTTTCAATAGAATGTAGGCTCCATGAGGGCCAGAATTTTTCTGTCTTATTCACCATTAGATCACCAGCACATAAAATTGCTATTGGCATAGAAGAGGGACTCAAAAAATGTTTGTGGAGTGAAAGGATGGATGATGGATGGATTATGGATGGATGATTGTATGGATGGATGGATGGATGGTTGGATGGATGGATAATGGATGATGGGATGGATGGATGGATGGATGGATGGATGATAGAAAGACGACTGGATGGATGGATGGATGGATGGTTGGATGGTTGGATGGATGGACGGTGGTGGCGGTGGGTTAACAGGGAGAGAAAATTGAAAGAGTGAGCAGAGATCTCACTTCTCACTTTGTGTTTCTATAGTGGTGAGATTATGCAAAGATTCACTTTCTGTTTATATTTTCAGAGTTTGAAAAAATGTTTTAAAGAAATTTGCAAAAAATGAGGATATGAAAATCATACTGAATTTAAAGGTTTCTCTCTCTTTCTCTCTCTCTCTCTCTCTTTTTTTTTTTTTGTGAATCAGAGGGCCTTTTAGACTTCTCAAAGAATCCATGAACACAGAGAAACAAAGGATATGGATTGAATTGATAATAGTAATGGTAATCACAAAATAACAACAATGATAATACTGGTTCATAGAAAGTGTTTAGGCAGGTCCCAGCACATGAGTAAAGCTTTGTAACTGTTGGTCACAATTTCACTCAATTCTCACAGCAACCCTAGGATGTTGATTCTATGATCAATCCATTCAGATCAGAATGTGGGGTTTAGAATGTGTCTAACTCGCCTAGAGCCACACAGTTAGTAACCGGAGGATCCTGGATTCACTCCAGTGTGAGTCAGACAGAAGTTGAATAAGACACTGTACAATTAATTAATCAGTTAATAAGGCACTGCACAACTCCCATTACTTAGGCTGTGTAACACTGGGCAAGTTAACCTCTGTGCTTAGTTTTCACATCTGGAAAATGGGGCTAACAAACCTATTTCTGCTAGGTATTATCCAGACAAATGAGTCAGTTAATGCACGTAAAGCAACTGGAACAGTATTAAGCATACAGCAGCAATTTGGCAAATCTTAGTTACAATTTAATGATAATCATGATAATACTAATTAGCTCCTCAGTAACAAATAGGTACAGTACTATAAAAGAGGTAGTACTGAGCACATAGCAAGAATTTCCTGACTCTAAGTTATAACTTAGTAATAATCATTATTAGAATAATAGTCATCTCTGCAATGTTCTATTTTGCTATTCTACTATTCTTACTACCACACAGAGAAGAATCCAAAAGAACTGATCATTTAAGCTGTGAGGTGGTCAGTTAAAGAGTAATTGACTGTTTTACCCAAAACCTTCCCACATATATCATTATCCAATGCTGACAGGGCAGCTAAAGAATGAAAGAAATGTGTAGAAATAACATCTCATGTCATAGAACACCCTCCTGACTGTTTGTCTAGATGCGGTAACTGAACGGCTGTCAGAAATCATTCCATAGGCCTTATCCCTGACTCACAATTGCTCTGTATCTCCTGGGATTTGATGCTAAATCTTTAGGAGTTTTGGTTTCAGTGAATAGGAAACCTTGATCCACACCCTTCATCCCATGATTCATCTCATCTCCTAGATTCCTTTTCTTCATGGGCTCAGTGGAAATAACATTGCCTACATCATTGGCACTATACAGAAATATGAACTGCATTTTTAGAGCAAGGATGCTCATTCTGCTAAAAATTCTAGGAGTCCAGGGCAGATCCTAATGTTTACTACCAAGAGGCATATCCTACTTTATGCATTATCATCTATTAAATTCTCAGCAAGCACAGATGGATCTAAAAGACTCTAAACATATTTTTTAGAGCATCACATTGTGTGTGACTTTAAATTTTCATAGAAAAGAAATATTCAGAAACCTAGGATTGCCTGGGAAGTTGAAGAATCAGTACAATAAACACACACACAATTTTACTAGCATCCTATCCATGTTTTAAAAGTACAACAAAGAAATGATCTGAACAAGCCAAGTCTAGTAAATATGGTTCATGAAATCATGAGGGACATCTTCTGGATCTGAGACCCTTCAGCTAGCCTACTCACTCCTGAGGTTTGAGTAAGAATTTCTACCAGCACATCACAATTTTCAGTTCTGTGGAGATAAAAAATAAGTCAAAAACAGATTTTTGCCCTTGTAAAGTGGGAGTAGGGGCCAAGGAAAGAAGAGAAAAAGAAGGTAGAATTTTAGTGGAAGGCACCACATAGAAGTAAAAGAAGATCAGAGGAGGATTGGAGAAGGTGGGTAGGATGGGAGCACACAGAGACAGGGAATTTGTAATCCAGAATTCCTGTGACAGATGAAGGAGGGAGTAACTGATGCGGTAACTGAACGGACACAGATGTCGTTTGGTCTAATAATGGTTTTCTTTTTTTCTAGGCGGGCATACCAGACCATCATAGAGGTCTGGAACAAACGCATGTAAAAATCTTTCCATTTGAGAGATATGGGGCACTAGAAGGTTCTGAAGGGGGTACAGTTTCCTTTATGAAGGAATGGACACTCATGCTCTCCTGGGCTGTCCTAGAGTTCAGAACCACTGACCATAAACACACATGAATTGAAGTAGAGACGGTAGTGCTTAGATAATTCAAACAAAAAAGCCATCCACCTATGCATCAAGGATTGCAAAATCAATGGGAACTCCAGCTCTTCTCCCCGCTAGATATATAATCTTAAGCAAATTAATTCAACTCAATACACTTTAGTTGCCTTTTCTGGAAAATGAGAGCACGATGCCATCTTTGCAGGATGACTGGGATTATAATAGATAAGTATTAAGCACTTATCATGGCTCTTCACAGATAAAGGGAAATAAATAATTGATAGCTTTTATTATTATAATGATCATGATATTGTTATAAAATCAAGATTTAGTGACTCTGGACCATAGTCTTCTCTTCTATACAATTAGAGGGTGTAGCCCCATTTACAAAAGTACTTATAATTTTAATGTGTCCTCTGTGATTTCATTTTCACTTCCATGGCCTGAAAACTGCCTCTTTTTGCTTCTTTCTGAGTCATGAGTCTCCGATACATTGCTTTTGGACACCAGAATATTAGAGTAGCAGTCCTTCCACACACCCTGGGTCAGGCCATATCATCCCTGGGATCTTGGACTTATCTCAGCATTTCCTGATACTGCTCAGCTTCAGTATTACTAGTTGGTTTTTCCAGCTTGTCCCTCTTTTTAATTTTTGCTGTTGTTTTTGTGTTCCCACTGGCAGGGATTGACAAACTTTTTATGTGAAGGGTCAAATAGTAAATACTTCAGTCTTTGCAGGCTACAGTCTTGGTCAGAACTACTCAACTCTGGGGGCGCCTGGGTGGCTCAGTCGTTAAGCGTCTGCCTTCGGCTCAGGTCAGGATCCCAGGGTCCTGGGATTAAGCCCCACATCGGGCTCCCTGCTCGGCGGGAAGCCTGCTTCTTCCTCTCCCACTCCCCTTCTTGTGTTCCCTCTCTCGCTGTGTCTCTCTCTGTGTCAAATAAATAAATAAAATTTAAAAAAAGAACTACTCAACTCTGCCATTTAGCACAAAGCAACCCTAGACAATATGTGAATGAATGGGTGTGGCTGTGTGCCAATAAAACTTTACCTATGGGCCCTGAATGTGAATTTCATATCATTTTCATGTGTGTGAAATATTATTACTCTTTTGATTTTTTGTCCAGCAACATAAAAACATAAAACCCAGTCTTGTAGGCCACTCAATGAGTAGCAGAAAGGATCTGGCCTGAGGATGGGCTATAGTTTTCCAACCCATTTTCCAGGGGAAGCTCCCAAAAAGAGATTTTCATCCTTTTCTCAAAGTCTTTCTGGAGTGCCCTTTGCTTGGTCCATGGCCACTCACTCTCTCCTGCTAGGAAGAGTCCATATCTTCTGAGGATCCCAAGACCTTTGGACCCCCCCACCCAACACGCTGAAGTAAGAACAAGCCCACTTACCACATGATCATGATCACTAATTTCATTACAATCTCATTCAAAATGTTGAAGAATTCCACCATCAGCTTGGCCTGCTCTCCCATCTTCCCCATGGCGATGCCAAAAGCAATGAAAAACCCTATCAGACCTGTTGGGTGAATCACATTACACAGAAGAACAGATTACAAAATGTGTGTTTCTTCTCCCTCCTTCACCATTCCCGACGTAGGGAGTCACCGTCTCACCTGCCTGTTGCCCTGTGATTTAGGCATTCGATTTCACATGGAAAATACCTTTCTCCTGGATAATTACGGCATCCCTTAACATTTCCCACAAGAAGAAGTTGAACTGTCAGTGGTGTTAGTGCCTTGAAGAAAATGAATTCCGTTTCATTCCAAACTCAAAAGGACTCTCTTCTCTCTCCTCCTCATTTATGAAGTCATGGGTAAACAGATTCCATAGTACATAGATTAATGAAGGAAGGCTTGTTGGGACTTGGGGATTATCGTGCAAACTTTGGAGCCCACATTAGAACTGCAGAGACCAGTTAGCCAATAAAATCTCTGCCAGGGTTATGTCTAGGTTAGTTTGGTGTTATCCCAAATTCATGCATGGCTGGTATGTTTCACTGCAGGAAAATCCTGAGCATAAAAGTATTTTTCTACTGCTACATGCCTAACGTGAGAAGGAGGAACAATGTTGAAAAGTCAATTGGAAAGCAATGAGAAATCCAAAACAGTTGGGAAACCCCAACTGACCCAGTTCATTTGGATTTAACCTATTATTTATTAATTCCTCATCATTCTTTTCATGGTCAAAATGGTAAGAATGCTTCCTTTTTTACAGCATTTTTTTTTTTTTTTGCAATATCATAAAGGCAGAATATAGACTTTGTAACTTTCTAGCCCCTCAGCCCCATTCTCCCTTCACTTGACATCACTGGACTTCCATCTAAATCCAGCCCCACCACAGTCTCTAGGGTCAATCCTATCTCCAGGCTGGAAGGATGTGAGGAGCTCTGTCCCCATCAAACTGCACTAGGTCCTGAACCAGCTCCAATACCCAAACTTGGGTCTTATCTCTGTGTTGTCTTTGCCTCATTCCCTCCATCTGAGTACCTGTCCTGGAAAGCTGCCATATACTTTGGTTCCTCCAAGCTGGGCCTGGCTTCTCTCTCCCCAGAAGATCCTCCCCCTACCATTCCTTCCCATTCTTGCCCTCAGAGTCTCACCCCCAGCCTGAAGTCTCATGAGGCCCACCCAGGGACTGGGCCACTACATGGCTTACACACATCCCCATTATTGCCTGTCTGGATTTCTGATTACCAATCACTATGTGCCCCTACCCCACTCCTGACCCATGATTGCCAATCCTGGGACTCCAATTCTGACTACTTGCATGAACTGTCAATCAATGCTACTGTGCCCCTGGCCACAGGACCTTGCTTGCCCATCTGACATTTTCTCTGAAATGCAGTATGGCCCATCTTCTATACCCTCTCCTTCCTTCCTCTTCCCTACACCTGCCCTATCCCAGTTTGGCAGGCCTAATTGCCAGTCCTCTCTATTACATCCGGTTTCCTATTGGGTCTACTTATGGCTAGAGTCTTGAGTTATTCTGGGCAAATTATAGCATGATGATTTGATTCTCTTAGGGAGGAATTCTTTCTCTCTTAACCTCTAACTTTACCCTTTTCTTAGCTCCCCCAAAACCACTCACTTCCCCACACCAACTCAGATTGTTCAACTATCCTTCACTGGACCCTCTCTCTCTTTGGCAAAAAGAACCCAGCACCCGCACTCAGGATTTTTAATCCCTGGTAGTGAATATTTCTCCTTTTCAGCTCTCAGCCAGAAAGACTGGCAAGTGCCTTACAAGTGAGTTATTGGCCATAGAGACAGAGGCTTAGTGAAAATTAGTGACCAGGGAAGAGTGGCCTAGCTCTGCCATCATGTATGGAACCAAATTCAGGCTATTCCCAAGCCCTACTCTCAAGCCCATGGAGAGGAGTTTGCTAGGTGTGTGGTGAGAAATAATCTGTGAACATTCTGGCTGAGAAGAGCTAGTATTACCTAGTTAATTCCATTTGGAGATTTTAAGAGAAAACTCTCAAGGTCTCAATGTCTCAAAGAGCTGGCATAAAAAAGATCCCCTTCCAGGGTCAGCAGCAGAAACTGGGCCACACCTATCACTATGAGAGAGAGACGTTGGAAGGAGCAAACTCTTCCAGGAATTGATTTAATGGTTGGGGTTAGAGAAGAGCTCAGAAGCAGTCTGGAGGTTACTGGGGAGAGAAATGAGTGCTTCAAGAAGAAGGAGGCCAGAGCCAAAGTTTTATCTTCACTTATTGCAATACTTGACCATTGGGACTTTCCAAAGTGGGGGGGAAAAAAAAGCCACTTTCTCCACGCTTAGAAGACCAAGGGATTTGTACATGGGAAGTTTCTCAACAGTCTAACTTCCTTTGGCTTTCCAGAGCTCAATCTGCAGCTGCCCACCCATGTCCAGCTTCCATGTCATTTCCCCCTGTCAACGTTGCCTCACTACAATCACTTACTGGAACTGGGGCGTTTTGCTTGAACAAAGCCCCCTTAGACTTGGTCACTGGGGCTGAGAGAGTAGTGAGCTGTGTTGAAACTCCCCAGTGTAGCCCAGGGTCAACATGACTTCCCAGAATCCACTGAGAATCTGGAAACGGACCATGAAAGTCTTCTGAATGATTCACCCCAAAGTTTTGGCCTCATTACTCATGGCCTTAACCTCCTCCAGAGTATGTAGAAGACTGTGGGTTCACTTTGACCATAGGGCTTCTGGGACAGAGTATGATTGGGAAGGTCCTGAAAGGTTCACACATATCTGGGCAGTGGGCGAAGAGGGGTAGATCTGGGGTGGATGCTGAGGATATTTACAAGCTCTCCTCAGAGGAACTCACCCACTTTGTGCTCTCTCCTTCCCCTGTCACCACATACTGACTGTCAGCAATATCTATTGATCTTCCATTGCCTGCCAAACCAGTCAGCTTATCTCCTCCCACCCTCTCACTTACTCAACCTGTTTCCTGCCAGGCCAAACTAAGAAGATCCCTCACTGAAGCTTCTGCTTTTCAGTGCCTCGACAATCCTTCTTCTCTGCCTCTCTCTCAACCATTCTGCGTAAGGTAGGTGTCAGGTTATCCAGTTTAGAACAAACAAACAAACAGGATACCCAGTTAAAATGTGAATTTCAGATAAACAATGAATGTGTTTTATTTTAGTATAAGTATGTCCCGTGCAATATTTGGGACATACCCTACACTAAAAAAAAATCATTTGTTCATCTGGAATTCACCCTTAACCGGGCATCCAGTACTTTATCTGACAACCATACTAAGGAGACAAGGGAATTTGATCTCCTAGATGGCAAAGCGGAAGGACCATTGAGCTGATCCCCTTCTAACCAGCTCTCCTTCAAATCCTTAGAAATCTTGCTTGCAGGGATCAATCTATTTCTCCTGCCCAGCTTCCTTGTTTCTCCAAGCTTAGGGCCAAATGTCCTTCTTTCTTGTGTAGGGGACATCAGTGTAACAGTGGGTGTGGGCTCTGTTGGAGAGTGGCCCCAGGGAGTGGATGGGGAGTAAACTGAGCAAACGGGAGTCACCCACATGATGGGAGTCTGCATCCTCTGCGGGCTGTTTTCTTATTGAGCTCCTCCGCTCTCCATCCACCTTGGATAGCGACCGTAGCTTGCACCAACAGAGCACGCAGCCTAGGCCACTGTGCCCCACAGGTGCAATCTCATTTAATACTCAGAATGATCTACAAGAGAAATGCAATCCATCCCCACTTTACAAATGAAGCTTGAGAAGTGGAGCAACTTGGCCATGGTCAGATCACCAGTGAGTGGTCCATAAAGGATCCAAACCTGGTCTACCTGCCGAGCCAAAGACCCAAAGCCATGGAAGGCTAGGAAGGCTCCATGCTAGGGGAAAAGGGCTCATCGGAATCCCCAAAAATTAAACAAGGTAATCTCCTTTGGATAAGCTCCTTTTTGGCACCAACACCAACACTTTACACTCCTGATAGCATTGTATTTGTTTAAAGACTGTGAAAGCCAGGGTGGGCTGCCCCTGTGCCTAGCACAGCATTAATACCCAAGGGCAGCTCAAAAATTAAAATAAAATAAAAGCTTAAAAAACGAAAAAATTGGATGTGTAACTTCACGAAATGGACAGAGAAAGAGACTTGCCAACACCACACAGAGAGTCAGGGAATGTGCCCAGTGAATGTTAGTCCCCTCTCTTTTCCCATAACTGACCCCTTGCTGCCATGTCCCCTCGTGGTCCTGCTCACTCTCTCCCTCTTCCTTAATCTCCCAACTACCTGTCTTCATGACCCTCAGATCACTCTCTAGAGAGAGCCTCCTGCTCACCTACAGAACAGCAGCGACGGGTTTTCTGAGAAGGGAGGCAGGGCTGCTGAGGCGCTGAGAGGCAGGGAGGGCAGGCCATCATCCCCCCACTGAGGTGTACACCAGGTTGCCTACCTAAGACATTCATGCCGTCCTTGAACTCCAGGCCCTTCTTGATAACCACCTTCGCTTCCTCAGGTGCCTCCATCACAGTCTCGTTCAACAAGGAGATGACAGCATTGGTGGCATTGCCCTCCTCATCTGACAGAGGTGCCACCAAGACTTTCTTGGTCACCGTTTGTATCTAATGGAGTGGGGGAAAACAGAAACATGAGAGGCTTGGTCGCCCAAAGCCTAGCCACTAACATGTTTTTAAAAGTTCCCAGTATGTTAACAAAATAATTAAGAAATGTCAAAACAAGGTTACAAAAGTTGAGGAATATTTGATATGTCTGTGTTTAACAAAGTGATGTTTTATTGCATAAATACAGTGGGAAACGATTGTCCTCATCACATGATAATTACAGGATTTATAACTTTCATTTGTAATGTAGTGTGATCCAGTAACAGGACACAAACTTCAAGGTGGGGGACAGACATCTACTCCTTATATTCCTATGACGGTAGCCCTGCATCTTGGAGACAACATCCAGCATCCAACATGGAGGCTCTTCATAATTGTGAGACCAGTTGGATGACCCTTCTTGCCTCTTGGGAGGGGCCCAGGATCTGGTCAAAAGTAGGAGAGTGAGGGTCTTGGCAGGGATCAGGTGATGCCTCATGGTCCACCTGTTTTGCTCCTTCCTGCCTGGTACCTGTCTGGCAGGTAGGCAGAGTCTTCACAGACCGATTCTCATTTGGGCTCCTTCCAGAGTCATGTTCTGCTGGACATCTCCATCCGGTCACCAGATGTACTAGATGCCAACAGCCGCCATGACAGGGATGTTGGCTTATATTTCAGATCAAAGTGTAAGGAGAGAAGACCCCCACTCCTTCTAGGCAGTGATGCCAAGCCTTGCTCAATGTTTCCCAAGCATCTCTGTGCAAATGGCCCTCAAGAAACTCTCATACTATTCCTCGACATCTGTGACACCCATTTTATTTTTAAAGGTGCCAGGCACCCTGCAAGCACAGTGCTGTGAAAATTCACATCAGAGCCCAGAGAAACAATACCTCCAAGGGCATTAAAACAGAACTCATGCAGAATCCTAGAATGTCAGTGCTGGTATGTAGTAGGCAACGGATGGCTGAACCCTGAATAGATATGGAAGAAGAGGGGAGCTCAAATGACTTGTCAATCAACATAGAGCTCTTGGCAGGGCTGGGACTTGAACTCAGAGGGCCTGAGTACCACTGAATTCTTCCACTCCCTAGGCTCCATGGATCCAATCCACTGTGGCTGAGCCTAACAGTGAGCAATGCCAAACTGACCAGCTATCCAAAGTGGGAGAGAAGGAGGAGGTGCTCTGTTTTAACCTGACCACCTGCACCTGTGCAGGGAGGGAAGAAGCTCAGGCTGAGTGTGCAAGGGGAGAACAGGAAGCTCACGGCCCTCTTGGTCTGCGCAACATTGGCATGAAGAAAGAACACAGGAATGATCAGAAGGGAAGCTTCTGTGAGCAACAGAGTCACGTTCCCAGGAGAAATGGGAGGACTAGAAGCCAGCTGTGGACCTGTCCTGGGAATGCTAAAGAAGCCAAGGCTTGACTTCAAAAGACTAATGGCCATGGTGGTAAATAAATGGTGGCTCTCAGGATCAGGTGGGCAGCCAGGTGCTTCATGTTTGACATTTATCATCTCTTCTGTCAACCATAGCCCCTCAAGGCTCACATGGCTAACTAACTGCAGGGCAGACAGCTAGCTAGTTGCTGAAGCAGGATTCAAAATGAGTAATGTTTGACTCCAAAATCAGCTTCCAAACAGCACGGGCCAGTGGCTTAAGTTGCAGGCAAGTTGATAGGGATACTGGAACACAGGCCTGGTTTCTGCCTGAATTCTTGATCCAAGCCTATTTGGGTTGGACAACGCCATCTAGGTACCAACTCCAGTCTACCCGAGTCCAAGCCACCAGGGTCTCTCACCTTAGAACCTGCAAAAGCCTGCTCACTGCCTTTCCCACCCCCCTTCTAGTCTACCTGCAAACATCAGGTATGTCTAGCTACCCAGAGCTCTGTCTGCATTCAGAAAATAGAAAAACAGTTGTCTCCCTGCCTAAAACTCTCTTAGAATAAGTACCCGAGTCTGACCCTGGCCTACCAGGTCCTGCCTGAGCTGGGCTTTGCTTCCCCCAGCTCACTCTACCTCCCACACATTGGCCTTCCTTCTCTCTGGAGGCACGTCCGCTTGGCAGGCTCCGCCCCCAGTCCTCAGCAGGCTCCGCCCCCAGTCTTCCACCCAGCTCAGCCCTTCCCTCACTGTTTCAGCTCAGGTGTCTCTCCCAGTTACTGCAGAGCCCATCATCCTGCCTCCAGCGCTCAGAGCGCACTTATCTTAATTTTTTAAATAGCTTGTGTATTTACCTGATGTTTGTTCTGGTCTGTGTCCCCCACCCCCTGAATGTAAGTTCCACTGAGCAGGGACCCAGACGGTCTCATTGCCTGTGGTGTCCTGTGCACCACAGACAGCCTGGCACCCAAGAGGTGCTCAAAAATACAGAATGGATGAGCAAACACAAATCACTGGATTCCCCGGAAGAGAAGACCCACATGGTCCCTATCACTGGGTTTGATGGCATGTGGTCAGGCCACACCTTACAGCCCGTTGCTCTCCTGGAAACCTCAGCCTGGTTCACCTCCCTGCTCTGTAAGACACGGGGCCTGCCGCCTGGGGAAAGGCAGCCTTTGCTCTGGGGATGTGCACTTTCCTCTTTCCATCCCTGTGTCTAACCCTGGTCATGAAGCGTGCCCCCCCCCCCACCAGCCAAGACAGGCTTCTTCTTGTCACGTTCAGCTGCATCCCAAGGGCATGGAAGGCACCTCCTGGGCACCCTTTCTCTCTGGTAATGCGATGTCACCGTACAAGGATTCCCTCTCTCTGAGCCATCTTCAAGGTCCCCCTGAGCCCATGGATTGCTCCTAGTTTAAGACCCCTTTCCTCTAGGCTGCCTGGAGTCCAGCTTAAGGAATCCGCATGCTCCCTTACCCTGAGCAGCCGACACTTGGTTTAGGCTCAGGTCATGATCTCACGATCGTGAGATGGAGCCACGTGTCGGTCCCCCCTCTCAGCGTGGGAGTCTGCTTTAGATTCCCTTTCCCTCTCCCTCTGCCCCTCCTGCTCCTGTTCTCTAACTCTTGCTCTCTAAAATAAATAAATAAATCTTTTTTAAAAAAGTAAGATTCTGGGGCGCCTGGGTGGCTCATTTGGTTAAGCGTCTGCCTTCGGCTCAGGTCATGATCCCAGGGTCCTGGGATCGAGCCCCGCATCAGGCTCCCTGCTCGGCAAGAAGCCTGCTTCTCCCTCTCCCACTCCCCCTGCTTGTGTTCCCTCTCTCGCTGTGTCTCTCTCTG